AAAAAAAAAAAAAAAAAAAAAAAAAAAAAAAAAAAAAAAAAAAAAAAAAAAAAAAAAAAAAAAAAAAAATTAATAAATAAATAATTATATTATATAAATTTGATTGATTTGTCAAATTAATTACTTTTTAATTAAATAATTGTTAAGTACATTATATCAAATAAATCAATTTTAACTAATGTTTATTATATACAAAAAAATTAATTTATTTATGTTTTTTTAAACAAATATATTTTTTAGATATTATTTAAGCTTGTGAGTTTATTTAAACTTAAGTTTTATTTTTTCAATTGAAAAATCAAATATATCTCAAACTTTATTTGTTATAGAATTTTATTTTTTGAATTTTTTTTATTAAAAAAAAAGTGAAATGTAAACGGATTTGTATTTGATATTTCACTCAGGTGACCTACCATTATTACTATACGTCTTAAATTTTTATAAATATATAATATTTTTAACTTTTAATAATTATTCAATTTTATTTATTATTATTAAGTTTATAGTAATATATTCTAAAAAATATTTTCTTTTATTCCTATGCACTTGATTATAAAACTACAAAAAATTTATTTCAAAAAAAAAACTCCGTAATATTATTTAAATCTTATTTTCCTTTTTGAATGTCGTGCCAATGAATATTATTTTATTTTGACCGCATCGCATTAAAAAACATGAATCCCATACTCAAATCGAAGCAAAGATTTATATAAGAAAAATGGGTAGGAATTAATATATACTGTAATTTTTGTGTCATGAAGTATGGCCAAACATGTTTAAAAAATCAAAAGGATTATTATGTTAACCCTTTCTTATTGTATAGTTGATTTCTGATAATTTTAATAGTAGCATAAAATTTCACAATCTGGAGTTTATGGTTCTATATCTAAAAATAGAATCGATCCTGGATTGATTCTATCCCAAAGGAGGATTTGAGCATCTCAAAATAATTATCAAAATGGAGATTTCTCGTAAATGTGCATACTCTTGGCATGCGTTTGTAGATAAATCATCAATCTGTTCATGCGTTAAAAAATGTATAAATCATTGATTTCGCCAAGATATGCTCATTGAAAGCTAGTTATCGGTTTATATATGTATAACCGGATCACAAAGAACGGGATATTTTAAGAGAATATTCTCTATAGTCCTTGTGACATCGTAATTTATAAGGACGCATGTGCCATGCAACAAAGTCGGTACTATCACATTATTATTATGACTACATGAATAGATTTAACCACTTGCACCTTTTTAGAAATAGATTACGTATAATTGAACATTTATAGATTCAGTGACGTATTTTGAGGAGTGACGTGCACTGTTTAATTGCAATTATATAAATGGAAATTTCGATAATTTTAGTGCTGGACACTCTCACAATCGTTGAACAAAATCAAAGCTTTCAAGAATGGACTCAAGACCCTTGCCACAAGGATGGATAGCTCAATACGATCCAAACACCCAGTCATATTATTATGTTGGTGTGTATTAGGCTTGTTTAATGGGATGAAGAGTTAAATAACAAAAATGAATAAATAACACATAGATACCATTTTTGATAGATACAAGAACTGGCGTTTCTCAATGGCATCATCCAGCCGGGCCACCACCTCCGCCAGGTCCTCCAGGACCATATACCGGCGGATATAATAATAACCTACCGCCTCCATATCCCGGAGCTGCTCAGTCATATCCCTCAAGTTCGTATCCAGGCGAAGCTGCTTCTTATTCACCTTCGCCATCTACTGCTCCTCAAAATTCAGATGAAAAGCCCTCATCGCAAACCACAACCGATAAGAAACTCGGTAGTGACAAAAAAAATATGCTTGGGGCGGCTGCTTTAGGTTTGGGAGGTGGAGGGGCTTTGGGTTACTTACTTGGGAGCGCCTTTAATAATAATAATCATCATCATGGTCACCACCACCATGGACATCACGGTCATCATTTTGGTCATCACGGGCATCACCATCATCATGGGTGGTAAAGGCTTGAGATATGCTAAACCGCGATACTACATTCCAATAATCAATAGCGTATCAATCCCTGTTCTCTTTATCCTTATTCAATAAACAAATTGCAAAATGCACAACGGAAATTTTCTGTTTTACATATGGTGGTACACAGTTACATTAAGTAAACTGAATAAAAAATTAGATCATAATTTATCGTGACTCGGAAAAAAAAAACGGTGTCTTTAGTGGTACACATCATGTGATTTCATGTGAAGTGTGTGTTGCATATATGAATTCATTTCGAACAATTTTGCACTTCAGATGTGATCTGATGTCTTCGCAGTTGCCTACACTTTTGAACCCGGATTTTCTTGCTTCTGGCTTGAGCCGTGGATTTT